AAATTAGCATTTTTGGTTTGGGTTCTGACAGATTAAAACTCACAGTCTGTTTGCAGCCTCATTTTTATCCATATTATTCCATTATTTTTGGAATAATGAAATAATTATTGCAATGAGGAAAATATAACATTTTGGTCTTTTTTTTTGAAATTTATTTTTACTTTATGTGCATTGGTGTTTTGTCTGCATGTATGTCTGCGTGAGGGTGTCAGAAGCCTTGGAACTTACAGACAGTTGTAAGCAGCGGTGTGGGTGCTGGGAATTGCACGTGGGTCCTCTGGGAAGAACATCGAATGCCTTTAACCACTGAGCCATCTCTCCAGACATTTTTAATAATATTTTTGAAGCTGTACTAGCCTATGAAGTCATGTCTTTCTGGATTACTCTTAGTTTTGCTTTTGTTTTTGTAGTATTGAAGATTGAACCCAGGGCCTCCTGCACTCTGCTTCTGAGCCATACCCTCAGCTTTCAGATTGTTCTGATGTCTCAAATCTGAATGGACAGATTCTCTGTCCAGCCAGTGGTAATGGAAGGCTGCCTTCTAGCATTAGGTCTCTAACTCAAGTTGATGTGTGTTGCTCTTCCCAGATAAAATACGCCTACAATTCTGCGTAGTTATAAAAGTTAGTTTGCAGTTAGTCTTAAATGTTTCAGGGGTCATAGAAATAGCTCAGCTGGTAAAAGCGCTTGCTGCCTTAGCCTGCCAACCTGAGTTCAGGCCCCAGAATCCACACTAAAGAATCCACTACAGAAAGAGCCCATGCTGTAGACCTTTTCTTTGCGCTTGCATACATGACAATAATAAAAAAAATACAATTTTAATGTTTTCATCAGCATATAAACTGCCATTTTGAGTTTAAATATCAAACACTGCTTAAGTTATAAAATCAGTAGTTGAGAAATATTTTCATACTAAACAACATAAAATACAAAGTACTTATTAGGAATAATGGAGTTGGAAATTGTAGCAGTGACAATCTCTTGCTAAATTATTTTACTTGCTCTTTTAAGTGCTGTTTCAGTGAGGCTAGATATCTGAGGAAGCATGTGCAAATGAAATAGAATAATAATTGTTAGTATCAAGGATCAGAATAACAAGAGATGACAAACATTTTTATTTTCATTTTTTATTTATTACAATTGACAGTTTTTTCTTTAAAAACATATGGGATTACATTCAACAGTGGAGATAGCCAGTGTTTTCTCAGAGAGAATAATAAATGTGTTGTTTTTACTTAGCTTATCAGACAGCTGTTAGATTAAAAATGAAGACCTTGTATAAAACAAAAAGCTTTAAAAAGCATTGAGTGGGAATATTATTTCTATTTGCTTGCAACATAATTTGAAAGGGGAAGACCCTTTCTGTATCCCTCTCAGGTAATTGTGTCTGTGTCACAGTGCGTCTAGAAAGCCCCATTGTACTCTTAGGAGAGAACAAGGCTGAAAGACAGGGATACTCTAAGTACAATGAAGATAATCTTGCCCCGTGCACTCCCTCAAAATAAATGTTTAATCACCTCTCAGGAATGTCCTGGCCATGCTTTGAGAGCCACTTGCCGGCCCTTGAGAGGCGAAACAAACCCAGAACTATTAAGTCTGAACCTCATCTCAGGCCTGGTGTGAGGAGGAGGAGCACTGTGACCGTGCTCTTGGATGTTCATTCCTCTGGCTTTTCGGAAACTTGAGAGACCGAGCTAAGCGTATTTGTGAGGGTCTGCCAGATATCAAAAATATATGTTTGATCTTGACAATTAAGAAATATGGCGAGTAAAATCTTTGGAGAAAGCAGCATTACTATTATGAGTGGGTTTGTAATATTTAGCAAGTATATAGAGATACACAAATTGCCAGCATTAAATTTGTTAAAGGATAAGATACATTTTCAGTTTTGTTTGTCCTACGTCATACTGTTCAGAAAACCTGCTAGCATCTTCTTTTCCTCAGTAGTTTCTTTTGTTTAATTTGTGTGTGTGTGTGTGTGTGTGTGTGTGTGTGTGTTTATAATGCGGTAAACAAGTGACATGGTGGACATGTGGAGGTCAGAGGACAACTTTGTGGCAGTTCTCTCCACCTTTATGTGGGACTCAGGGATTGAACTAAAGCTGCCAAGTTTGCATGCTGAGTAGCTTTGCCAGCTGAGCCGCCTGGTTGCCCCCACTCCTGCCGTTTTAGTGCCAGGGTCTTTCTGTGTTGACCAAGCTGGCCGTGAGCTCATTATCCTCTCTCTGTCTCCTGACACTGGGATGCAAACGCACATCACAGTAACTGCCACAGAAATCTGAAGCATGCTTTGGGGTTAATTTTGGTTGTTGGTTTTTGCATGTCTGTTGCAATGGTGTTTTCTGTATCTCGGTCCCTAGTCACAGCTGGGGGGCCTTTGGCTTTTCAGTGTTGTCTGCTCATTCCTCCCAGATCCTGCCTGGGTCTCAGAAATAGCTGGAACTTGAGTGCCTTGAGAGAGGATGTGCATTGGATAACATTTTCACGCGGTTTCTGAGCAGGCTTCTCTCTGCCGGCCAGCAGTGTGGTGGTGTGGCGAGGCTGGGAGTGACGCCCCTTGCTCACCTCTGCTCTTTCCCTCCCCACCTTGAGCCCTAGGTCTGTCGTCCCTTCAGTGTGAACCATTTTTCTAGGTTCCTTACTACAAAATTTCTCTCCCACTTTACCTTCCTTTTTTATTTACCTTCTAGTATCTTCTTCAAAGATATCCTCAGTCAGAGTGACTTCCAGTTAACGTGTTCTAGAGTCTGTTTACAAAAGACCCAGGAGAGAGTGTGTGCTCTTGTATTTGGTATGATGAGAGTGCTGTGGGCAGAAGCCATGGTGGACAGTCCTGGCCTCCTCTGTCCTGCGTCCCCTGGTGTCATCCCTTTTTGCTTGGGAGAAAGTGGTCTGCGATTCAGAATGCCTTGTTTTGTTTTGCCCTACCTATTCCTGTGCCCTGTCTTCATGTGCAATTTTTTTCCTGGTGCTGAGGATCAGACTCGGCACCTTACACGTTAGGCAAGTGCTCTATCATGCAGCTGTGTATGTAGCCTCTACCCCATCTTCACATGGGTGGGCCAGGGCCTGGAAAAGGCCCCTTTCGGGTCATAGAGCTCCTGTGTGCTGCCTGTTGTCTTTGTTCTTTTCTTTGTGTGTATAGGTTTTTTTTTTTTTTGTTTTTTTTTTTTTAGTTTTTACTCTCTGTGTGTATATGTGTGTGTGCACATGCATATACATGCTTACCCATGCCATGTATTCATGTGGAGGAAGAGGACAACTCTGTGAAGTGGGTTCTCTCTTTTCACCTTTACATGAGTTCTGGGGATCAAATTCAGGTCCCCAGGCGTGGCTGGTGAGCATCTTTCCCTGAAGATCCATCTCACTGGCTCTTGTTTATCTGAGACAGGATCTCATCTTATGGCTCAGGCTGACATAGAACTTGTGATCCTCCTGCCTCACTCAGACTTTCTAGTGCTGGAATTCCAGGTGTTTGTCACCTCTCCAGGCTTTCTGCCTTCCCTGAGAGCTGTTTGAAGTGGGCTGTGTGGGTGTGTGTGATGATCACAGACTTCCTGTGGTGTTGCGAGGTGCTACCTCCAGTTCCTTTTCCTTTCCCCATAGAGCTGAAAAGGTATTTTTGGCTTAGAAAAAATAAAAAGAAAATTTATTAATTGGAAGTAGTGCTTCAAATATGTTCTACCCGCATCATATAACTACTTCTGTCTTGTCTCTCTAGACTATTTTCTAGTTGTCTGTGTGGAGCCTAAGAGTATCAGTGTTCCACATAGTGGCAGCTATCTGTTGAAAGAGAAAAATACAGGACTGGAGAGATGGCTCAGAGGTTAAGAGCATTGTCTGCTCTTCCAGAGGTCCTGAGTTCAATTCTCAGCAGCCACATGATAGCTCATACCCATCTATAATGAGTTCTGGTACCCTCTTCTGGCGTGCAGGTGTACATTCAGGCAGGAATAAATAAATGTTTTTTGTTTTTTTTTTTAAAGAAAGAAATACAGAAGGCAGAAATAAAAAAAGAGGTGTGTAGATGTATGTTTTGCCTTGCTTTATTACTTATTTTAAAAATTATTTGTTTTCATTTTAAATTTATCTTTATTATGTTATGTATGGGTGTTTTGCCTGTATTTTTGTGAAGGCTTCTCTCTAGCTACTCAGCAGGTATTTATTAAATGATACTTGTGTGCCAGGCGCTGCTAAGAATGCTGGAAATACGGCTCCGGACAAGGCACTCTTGTTGCAGATGTTTTATGAGCAGGAGTGTGATGATTGTCTCCCTCACTGGAAATGGTGACTGGAAGAATGCTGGGCTCTGGCTGTGGCATCTGGTTTGGATTGGATGTGACCAGCCATTTAAATGCTGTGATCCTTTTCTTTTCTAAAGTACATTTATTCATTTTACATCCTGATCACAGCTCCCTCCCTACTCTCCTTCCAGCCTCTTCCCCAGAAAATGGGAGCACCTCCTTACATACCCACCCTGCCCGACCAAGCCGTATCAGGACTTAGCATACCCTCTTCTGTTGAGGCCAGATAAGACAGCCCAGCTAGGGGAAAGTGATCCAAAAGCAGGCAGCCCAGTCCAGGCCAGGTACGACCCACTCTCTCCTTGTTGCTAGGGGATCCATATGAGGACCAAGCTACTCATCAGTTACATATGTGATCTGGGCCTACAACCTGTCCATGCAAGCTCTTTGGTTGGTGGTTCAGTCTCTGTAAGCCCCGATGGGCTGTGCTCCTTTTTCTTACCTGTCAAAAGGACAAGGTTAAGACACTTAACAGCTGTTTTTAGAGGCAGAATCATGCCTGCAGAGGTGCATTATTAAGATAGAAGTGGTATGTGTATAATAAAGTGTGTGTAGTCGCGACTGTGATAATGTGAAATATTTTGTTGTAAAATTTCACATGCAGTTCTGTCCTGCTTGGTTGGGAGAATCTTAAAATAACCTAGAAGCTTAAAGTCACAAGATATAAAGTGTACTTTTTTTTTCTTCTTTTCACAGAAGAAGATAATGCTGAATATGTTTTTGGATACCATGATGGCCGACCCTCCTCCCCAGTGCCTTGTCTGGCTACCTCTCATGCACAGGCTTGCCCATGTTGAGAATGGTGAGCACAGCTGACCCTTCCTCCCTTAGGTTGTAGAGCAGAGGAAACTGTTTGCTGAGTCCTTAGCTATTATTGTGAAAAATTTAAGTGATGTTTGCTGATGCTTTGTCATTTGAAGTTGCGGCTTGGAAGTCTTGTCACTTAGGATTCTGGTGGTATGGACACTTTTTTTTTTCTTCACCCTGAGATGACAGGCAGTTGACTGTTTGCATTTATCTGATGTGGTTAGGAATTTTGCCCCTCCTTATTAAGTTACCAGAATTGTGACTTTAGTGAATTAGAGCTCTGCAATATTAACCACCAAAACTTATGGTGATTTTAAATAACTAAAACATTGCTAAGATAAAATTTAGTTTTTGGCCTCCTATCTTCCCTTTTTTTTTCTTTATGATTATATATTTGGGAGTGTATGTGTGTGTGATATATATATTTGTGTACTTTGTGAGTGTGAGTGTGTGTGTGTGTGTGTGTGTGTGTGTGTGTGTGCATGCATGTGGAGGCCAGAGCTGGTGTCATTCATTATCTTTTGAGACAGGCTCTCAGTGAACAGAGAACTCATCAGTTGGCTAGATTGGCTGGCCAGCAAGCTCTAGGGACCTGCCTTTCTCCACTGCCCTCACACCCAGTGCTAGGGCTACAGGATTGTGTGACCATGCTCAGCTTTTCTGTGTGTGTTAGGGGTCTGAATTCAAGTCCTTATGCTTGTGGGGCGGGCACTTTCCTCACTAAGGAATCTTTCCAGGCCCTTCTTTACCATTTTACCTGGTATGCCCTCTTGAGATCCTTCCCAGTAAGTTTCATTTTCCAGTAAAGTAGATATTTTCACTTATTTCTTAGAACCCTCTTAATGTTTTCTACTGCGTATTTTCATATCTCGATTGTGTGACTGTGTTAAAGGGAAGGCTGTTGCTTTTCCGTGCAGCCCTCCTCTCCAGGCTGCTGTCTGTCTCCCTTTATTCCACAGGAGGGAACAAGGCATAGTTGAGAGACTGCTGAAAAGCAGAATTCTCCTTGTTTTTTCTCAAACACCTTTTATTTTCTATCCCAACTTTTTTTCTGTTTTAAACTTCTATATACCTTTTGCTCACGTCTGTATACTTCACAAGCATCTCAGTTTCAGGATTATTTTTCTAAAGGACTTGACTTATTAAGTGGCTAAATTCTTAAATAAGAGTTTCTGAGTAGACATGTAAGTAGTTCAGTTGCTAAGCTGTTCTTGGTTCTCTGAAGAGCGATGATTTTACTCTCAAAGTGCTTTACTGGTTTCATGTCCAATTAGTTTTCATAAACCATGTTGTATCTGCTATGAGGAGTGACAAGAGCCTCGTTTATCACGATGTGCTATTAGCCATAGGAATATTTTAGTATTGCTTTGTATGGAATGTGTTATTTATGATTGTGTTCTTACGTGATCAGTGATATTATTTCTTCTTAGAGACAAAGAGTGGGATCTTTGAAATGTCAGGGAGTAAAACTGCTTATCTGTCACATTGACATTGGTGTATATGTCTTACTACAAATCGTAAAATTATGGAGTATCTGGTCTTGGGGGAGTTGTTTGGTTTGGGTCCTTCCTGTACATTGGAATTGCTATGGATAAATGCCAAGCTACACACGGAGGCAGATACCTGTAATCTCAGTACTTGGGGGGCAGATATAAGAGTATCAGAAACTGGCCAGCATCATTGTATATTGCATTCACAGCCAGCCTGGAATACATATATTTATTTGTTTAGGCTGAAGTTGTATTTTTCATGTTGGTTTATAAATCTGGATGTATACACATAAGAAGGTAGCTGGCGTGTGTTGCAGTTTACAAAAGCAACCTTTCAGCAGTCTCTGAACAGCCCCAGTGAGGGACCCCCTCTCCTGTTGACCTGTCCGGGTAGCTCTTACTGCCCCTTCTGCTCACCCTCCTACTTTGTGAGCACTGGCTCTTAACATGCTCAGAAGAGACTAGAAGAAAGTCACAAAGACGTACCTGTTTGGCCACAATTGCCAGAGCACATTGGATAATTTCTGTTAATAAACTGTGAAATTCATTTATTATTAACCTAAGACTACAAACATTGGCCATACCGATGGTGTTGGAGCTGTACCAGTGATGGCTTCCGAGCACACATTTGCCAGCACTTGTTATTTCTCATAACTATAACGTCAGAAGTCAGACAATTTAGAGGTTTTGGTTCTGTCCGTTTCACGTTGGTTATTACATTAAATTTTGTTTTTCTTGCTATCGACTCTGGCCCTCAGTTGACATTATTTCGTCTTCTTCCTTCTGTCCCCCCACTTCCTTCCGGTCACCAGTCTTCCATCCTGTGGAATGCTCCTACTGTCACTGCGAGAGCATGATGGGCTTCCGCTACCGCTGCCAGCAGTGCCACAACTACCAGCTCTGCCAGAACTGCTTTTGGCGTGGCCATGCCAGTGGCCCTCACAGCAACCAGCACCAGATGAAGGAGCATTCCTCCTGGGTAACTAATGCTTGTCTTTGATTGTGTACTCTCAAGTATTTATTTGGCTCACATGTAATAGTACTTGGTCTAGTGTCCCGAGGGTGCCCTGCCCAGTAGGATGTGGTGTCATGAAATCTGATGTCACCACGGATGCTCGGGTTGCCCTGTCTTGTCCCTCTTCACTGGGTTTTAAAAGCATACTTTTAAAATGTTCTAGGAGGTACAAATGTTAACTGCATTTAATATAGTCCTTTTCAAGGTAAAAAGAAAGTTCCTTCTGATTTGAAAAATTATACAAAGGGTTTCTTCCTTATGTTTATTCCCTTGAGCCTTCAGTTGGGTTTAAGGCCCTGTCTTCAAGCCAGTTTTTTTCACAAGTTGATTATGTTTTTACAGTAAAGGAAAAGCAGCATGTAATACAGGAGTTACACATGTGTGTCTCTTAGGTTGGAAAAAGACTATTTTGTAATCATTGCTACATTATTATTCTAAACTTCTGTAGTAGCTCTTAAGTAATACTTGGGTGGTGGTCAGCCAAGCACGGTGTTGTACCAAAACACCACCAGTACTTTAACCCCAGCACTGAGGGTCAGAAGCAGTGAGTTCTAGGCCAGCCTGGTCTACATAGTGAGACCCTGTCTTGAAACAAAACAAAACAAACAAAAACCATCATTTGGGTGAAGATTGACGTCTGCTCTTACTGGGATTTTTATAGATCATGTAATATGAATCTCATTAAGTATTTTTCTTCACATCTTTTGATTTACTGTTAGTTTTTGTTGGCTGCTTGCTTTACTAAATGGTAGAAGACCACGCAGGGCCAGAAGTGTGGTTCAGGATCTAGGGTCTCACCCCAGTACCTACTGGGCGTCAGGTACTAGAAGGCCTTAATAACTTCTCCTCTTCGTTCCTCTCCTCTTCATTCTTCCTAAAATCCAGGCAAGAAAAAAATAACAAAATCAACATCAGGAAATAGTTAAAGGGGTAAAGAAAAGGAAACACAGAGTATCAACCCCCGTACACACTTGACTGTACTGTCAGAACGTGTGATGGTGTGTTAAAGACGCGTCTCATGGGGTTGAGTTTCAGTTAGAGCTAACCATGAAACTGTGTTTCACTGAACATCCTATTCTGTAGTTGTGCATTCCAGTACTGTGTTTTAGTTTAAAGTAATTTCTTTTTTATTGCTATTGAATAAAGGTAACGTGATTGTTATTCCCCTCCCCCTCCAGGTAAAGCACTATAGCCCATTATGCTAAATGATCAGCCCGTGTTTCTTCTGCAGTTTTTAGTTTAGAGTCTTGCCTGCCCTGACACAGGTGTTGCGCAGTCATTTTCCATGTGATTTCTTTGCTGGCGTGAGAACTTGTTCTTGGCGTTAGGGTGTGGAGAGGAGAGAGCTTCTTACTCCTTAGTTTGAACTTGCTCATTTACCCAATTTATAACCTTTTCAAAAGTAAGGATTTTGCATTTATTTAAAGAGCAGTAACAGCGAGTTGGGTGAGGTGGCATAAGTTTGTAATCCCAGCATTCAGGGAGGTAGAGGCAGGGGGATCTCTGTGAGCTGGAGGTCAGTGTGGTCTACAAAGAGAGTCTAGGATAGCCAGAGCTACACAGAGAAACCTTGTCTTGAAAAAACAAAACAAAACAAAACAAAAAAAAAAGGAAAAGAAAAAATCAGTAACAGAATACTGCTTTATGATTTGCAAAAGCACTTTTCATATACTCTTGAACTTTTCTCCGAGTTATAGCACACATACAGAAAAGTACAAGCTGGGTATGGTGATTTGTGTCTGTAATACCAGTACTTGGGAGGCCGAGGTAGGAGGTTTACCGTGAATTCAGGCCAATCTGTGTTAAGACCTTTTTCTCCAATAATAAAGAAACAAAATTGGTGGAGAATCTATAAGTAAATTTTTACTTATTTGATTCTCATAATACTCTGTGAAGATTTTCTTTCTAAATATTTCTCATTTTTACTTCATCTTTGTTGTGTTTTTTTCTGACTTATGAATTGCTCTTTTTTATAGTAAGGTAAGATTTTCAGCTCATATATAATTTTGCGTCTGGTACCATAACTAGGTCAGTTTTGAACTTTGATGGATTGCATGCCTGGGAATGGCACATATGTACTGGCAGAGAGCATGTGTGTGTTTGATTCCTTTTTTTTTTTTTTTTTTCTCTGTGTAGCCTTGGCCATCCTGGACTTATTTTGTAGACCAGTCTGGCTTTGAACTCTTAGAGATCCACTTGCCTCTGCCTCCTTGAGGCCTGGGATTACAGACTTGCGCCACCAGGCCTGGCACCTAATTTTCTTTTGGTGAACAGTGGATTGAACCTAGGGCATTCTTTATATATGGAAAGCAAGGGCTCTCCTGCCGAGCCATATTGCAAGCATCAGTCTAATGTTAAGTTATTTGAATGTTTCCCACTGTGTCTCTGCTAATATTTTAAATGAATGATTCTATGTTTTCAGCAGCAGAATTTACACTGTCAAAGAATTTACACTGTAGATTTGATATATGAATGTTTCAGTATTTGTAAGATTGTTTTTATTTTCCCAAAGTCTCCGTTTAATGCCTTGTTTAAGTAAAGAAGTAACAATTCAGTATTTCAGACCTCAGTCTGTTTAATTTACTTTCATTCCCCCAAAAGTGCTCTATGGTACTATACCCAGTATTTCTCCTGTTCAAGCATCATTTATTCATTCAAAAGATGTTTTGAGTGCTTACTTACGTAGTCAGCACAGGGATACCTTCACAAGCAAACCAGCCAAAGATCCCTGCCCTCCTGAAAATGGTTTAGAATATGAAGCGATTGCGAGGGCTTACTGGTGCCTCTGTTTTCTTATGCCTGCTGGGTATCCAGACTGCTTTCCACACCTCTTTCTCCAACTTCACATGGGTGGGGCCGTGTAAATAGTTCTCACCAGTGGAATGGGGGCAGTGATTTTTCTTTCCACCGTGACAGTTAATGGTAGTGTCTCCTCTGTCCTGTGTTTCTTCGCTTCAGAGGGTTCCATTGGGACCCAGTAGAAAGTTAAACTGTGACACAACAGGAAACTGGACCTGTCGTGAATGGTGGGGGTAGAGAGGAGCACGTGTCAACCCAGTGGCATGAGATAGGGCCATGATGAGAACTGTGTTTCCATTGCTGTTGAGGCTCAGGCAGGGGATTGGAGCTTCAAGGCTACCATGAGTAACTTAGCAAGAGCCTGTCTCCAAATAAAAGTAAAAATGCCTGGGATGTAGTTCAGTGATAGAGCACTTGCCTGGTATTTGCAAGTGGGTCCAATTTCCAGCACACATGGACACACACACATACACACCAGATCAAACAAACAGAGAAAGCCTTTGTGTTAAATGATTAAAGCTTTCATTTTTCTTATAGTACTATCACTAATAGAACTTAAAAGTGGGTGGTGTTGCCCAACATATAGGAATACACCAGTGAGCAGATGAGTCAGATGATGGAGGGGAAGACAGATCATGTGATCCAGCTATGACCAAATTGGTCAGTTTGTCATTAGGAGTACTTGAAAGAGCCTCATACCAACGGAGCCAAGTGTGGGCAAGGATCGTGGCGTGACCGTGCCACCAGTGTATGATAGTGCTTAGGAGAGAAGTGGCTGGTTTGTAAGCAAAGATCAAAGCAGTGGAAGTTCTGACAACTGGGGCAGTATAAGGAGAAAGAGGCTCTCTTTGGGCCCTGTCAAGTAAGAGATGAGAACTGGGAATATTTACAAAGCATAGTGGATATACGAAGTTGAAAAGACAAGGTTTAGGGGCTGTCTGCAGAGTTCTGTTTGTAAGGTTGAGGCTCATGGAATCTGTATGAAGACGGTTCTCAAAGTTTCCAGGTGACCCTGTTGGACAAAGTCGGGACCTTGCTTTATGTGTTTTCTAGGTGGCTCCTGAGGGCTGGAAGGGAAAGACATGTGAAAAATAAATTAGTCTTGAAAGTAAGGTCCAGGAGAGAGCTGTAGTTTCTGGCACACAGAACTAATGAGGAAACACGTAGATCAAAGGCCCACTGTGTTTCTGAGAGAATCGTGTTGGCAATGAATCCACGAGCCTGGACTGAAAAGGCCTTTGATTATTTGAGCTAGACAGTCACGTTAGAAAACCCAGAACTTGTGCCGATGCCAGCAAGGGACAGTGATGAGTGCATTATCAAGGTGATGTGTCCTTAAAAGAGGGCGTGTCACGGCACACTTGGCCACGGGGTAAAGAAGAGATTTACAGCCAGATGTGCTGGTGCCATGCTCTAATCCCGGCACTGGGAGGTAGAATAATGAGTATGAGGCCAGTCTGGTCTACCTGATACCTTGTCAAAACAAAGAAACTGAAGCCTGAAAGAAGGAAAAAGAGCAAACATGAAATTCCCGTTTCTGTCCCCGCTGTATCTTGGGAGTGGGAGAAGGTGCAGGTCAGGACTGCATCCCCAGGAGTCGCCTACAGTCCTGAGGAAGACTGTGCCATACACATGGTCTTAGCTGCACTGACCAAGTGGACGGTAGACCTTTCCTGTGTCTGCTGTGAGTCAACTGTGTTGGGTCACTTGGTGATCATAGTCCTCACTTTCTAGCTAGTTTTCCTTTCTAGCCGGGCAGGTAACTCATTTACATAACTCATCTTCCTTGCGATCAGATATGTCCTTATGGCCAGTTTTCACCAGCGGATATTACGTCTTAGCCAAGGCAGCTTAAAGCAGGTTCTGCCTTCTTTATCCTCACTGTCTTTACCCTGTCCTGCCAATAACCACTGGCCTAATGAAAATGCCTCTAAAGGAACTAGGTGAGGCAAGAAAGAGTCCTTGACAGAAGGAGGCTGGCGCCTGGATGGATGGAAACCCTCTGCCAGCTTGCCTAGGACGCACAGGGAATGAAGATACTGAATCAGGATATAGGGTGAGGGGTTTAGAGACTGAGTACAGAAGTCACAGGGCCTTGTTTGGAAAGAGGAGCAAAGACTCCCCTGTTGGGGAGGAGCAGGAGTGATAAGACTGAAGGCCCTGGA